ATTAAGTAAACAATTTTGAAAAGATTGATGATATAAATATTAATATATAGTATTATTATAATTATTAAATAACTTATTGATTATATAGATTGTATTTTACTTGACAATTTTGCCTCTAAATTCGACATCTTAAACTAATTAAATTCTTTGAAATATATACTAGAAGATTTTGAAATTGTGTTTCATTTGACTTTAAAGCCCTTAAATTTGATAGTTTGTACTAACCAAATATTATAATTTTAGAACATTTACTAGAAAATACATATTTACATTTAATCTTCTATAAACCCATAACTGTGTGAGCTAAAGTTGTGATGTAAAAAGTTATTTATTAAATATTAATATTGTTATTACTATCAGTGAGTCTGTTACTAAAGAAAAGCTAAGATTCATATAATAAAGGTAAGGGTTTTTATTATATATAAGGCAGATTCAATTATGACTGAAAAATGATTTTTATTAATTTTTTTTCATTAATTCTTTTGTTGTTCTGTTTTTTTTTCTTTCAATACATAATTCTTTTATATATTTTGTTCAGTAATTACATAAGTATTTTAATGAGAAAAATAAAATAAACAAATAGAAAAAAGTAAAATAAAAATAAAGTAACGAAATTGCAGTGAAGCTATTATATAATACATCATCATTATTATCATTATCTTATATAATTGATGAATTTTTCCAAGCAGAGATATGGTATATGATTTTGTCTGATTTTCTCTGCTTATATTATACTTTTTATTAAAGCCTCCCATATCTTCATATGCATCAGCTATTGTTTCGTTATAGCTTGTTTTTAATTATAGCACGTGACATGTCTTGGCATCAAATGTTGGTGACATACGCATCACCACTTTTCTGTGTTACAATATATAGTTTATTTTTCTTGATTTGGATTTATTACTATAAATAGCATGGTCTTTCATGCTACTATATAAATAAATATTAGTTTTAAAATTTCTTTTCTAATATAATTTAAATAGTTATTTTGATAAACTAATATTTAACTCATGTAAATTGAGAGATGTAGATTTTTGTTCAAATATATAATTATATACTTTATATACAATAATAAGAAACTGATATTTATCAATATATATATATATATATATATATATATATATATACTGTATATATAAAGTAGATAGTTAATATTAAGCTAAAAAAAATTTTTTTAAAAAAATTTTTTTTATTAATATAAAAATTATAATAAACCCATTTTAAAGTTTTATTAAACTATACTTGATTAATTTATATATTAAAATAATTTTAATAATTAATATTATTGTTTTTTTGTAATTGATAAAAAAAATCAAAAATATTAATTCATTATCTCTTTTTAATTATATTTTAATTGTATTTTTTTAATATATTTAAAAATTTTTTTATATATTTCTATTATTTATATCTCCAAATACACACATGTCTATTTTTATTTTAATTATTTAATTACTTATTAAATCTTTAATAAAAATGAGTTTTGATTTTTCCAATTATTTTTGTCCCACACTGTACATATTTTAGAAATTGCACTAAAGTAATGATTATAATAGTAAAATAATGCGACAAATCAATATGGTTCTTTTTTTATTTGTTTGACCTGATCAAGTGGTGTAGCAATTTAAATATGCATGTCAACTGTTCATCCTTTGAACAATAAACGCTGTGCTGAACAAAGACCATGGCAAATTACGTAACTTTATTTATCGAATATGCTCTATAATCTTATGATTCATAGAACTGTGTTCCTTGCGACGTGCTTCCTTTATAGAAAGCAATCTTAATCTCGAAATAAATAATCTTCTTACGGAATCAATAAGAGCTTCGATCTGTTTATAAAATAGGTTGCAGTTAAATATTTTGTAAAAAAAATTTCGGTTTTACAATCCTGTTAAAACGTCACGTAATTGGAGTCTTTAGACAAACCTTAATTGAAAATCTTGACAAAATTATTTGTTCTAAAGTAAGCTGTAGCGCAAACAAAGTTTAATTAAACTTCTTATAATAATCATTTTCCTATTATATATCAAACACATTTGTATCGTTTATATAATAATGCTTTTCGTGTGTCACCTGTGCACTCTAGTGAAATTTCCGATTGTTTAGATACGTACTGTATTTTTTTTTTATTACAATATATTTATTAATTTTGTAGTTCGAAAATTTCACTCGAAATCATTGTAGATGCGCCTGCACAGGTCGCAGGTGACGCGCGGAAAACATTACCTTTACAATCTCAAATTTTAAACTATAAAAGGGTAGAAAATTTGCGCTCTCGTTTAATGGGCGGTTCCGTCTAATTGTTAAAATGAATTTTGCTAAACAATCGATTATCTTGTTGGGCATCTTTTTGATTGTTATCTCCTCTTCCTCTGCTTCTGCCGTCGTTCCTGGTGTTCAAATTATCAAACCAGGTATTAAGATCAGTTTATTGCCAGTTTTCTTTATAATTTTTAAGGCTAACATAATATTATAACATTATTAAAAGAGGCGGGAAGCAAATACAAAGCTGGCGATCCTATCACTATTACATTCTGCTCTGATCCTTGCTTCACTAAAATCGATAATATATCCCTTTATGATGGCTACTTCTTTTCAGCACAAACCTTTGAATTAAATGTCACATTGGCCCGTAAGATACAATACTTTTTATTGCTAACAAGAAATACGACAGATTTCCTTGACTAAATTATTTTTCTTATAGCAATAAAGCCTTGCTATTCACTCACTTATAAGCTTTCAAAACGTCTCAAGCCTGATGCTCAATACAATATTGCCGTTATTTCAGACGATAAGTTTGTAGCCAGCAGTGCAACCTTTTTTATTGGTAATCCCAAATTTGGGTTAGTTATTACCTCACCAGACTGTAACGTCAAAGCACAAGTATGGGATATTTCACTTATAATATGCGTTGAAATTTGGTGACTTTAATATTTAGGTTAAGTATTAATAAATGTTATTTTCTTATTTTAGTGCGGTAAAAGTCTCGATGTCAGATGGGAAAATCGTAAGTACTTTCAATTCTAAATATTGATTCATCGATGGAATTTATTTATGATTGTATTAAAAT